ATCATGCTCAAAGAAACACCACCAAGACTAAAAGAGAGTCTGGAAATCTGGAGAGAGAGAGATCTAGTATGGGTGAATGCTAGTTAAGGGAATTACCAAGTTCCCAAGTTTCATAACGCATTGTTTCATAGAGAAATAAGGCTGGAAGGGACCTCGAGATCTAGTTCGACTTTCTGAGAGTCTGCTCTTAGTGCCGTATTCCTTTTGGAGCAAGTGGTGACTTGTGCTGCAGCCAAATGCTGAGTTGTTCTTATTGAATGAGAAAAATGTAGCAAGGTTCATATTTTTAGATTAACAATGATGACTAAAATAATCACGTCCTGTTTAAATCCGTAACCCATCCATCTTTAAAGAGAGCACTGTGTGTCTGGGCCAACAGAAAAGATGCATTGAGCTCATTCCTATAATCAATGATAGTGTGCTGCAAACAAGCCAGAATGTAATCCAAACAAGGATTGGAAGGATTTTAAACACTGGAGTGGCACGTACGTTAGATCAAATATCCATAGGGTTCCAGAAATCAAAACCAAATACAGCTGTCCCAATCACCCATGTTTCTTTAGTCCCTAGAACGGCAGACATTATGCATCGCAGTTCTTAAGTTTTCTTGGACAGGTGATTAAGCCTGATGTTGCTTCTACTGAAAATTAATTAGAAATTCTATTATTAGGGGTGTGAACTTCTAACCAGATGGGTTCTTTGTTAAGTATTCACGAAGCCCAGTTAGTATTAGAGGGATATGATTGCAGAATTCAGGCTTGTGAATCTGGAATTCAGACTGAGCAATTCAGATAATGAGAAGGGGCCAATAAATACTTTGGACATCAGCTTTTGGAACTGAAGTTTCAGTGGGAGTGGGGCATCTGATTAGAAAATGTTCACATTACATTTATCTGCAACAACTTATAAATGTGTCATATTAACTGACTTTTTTCAGTCAAAACTGTACTATTTTAGTATATTTTTAAATATAAAGGAAGAAAAGCCATGAAAGCAAACCAGTGTTTGCTCTGTCCAATAATATTTCTTCCTTGTTGTTTAGTCAGTGAAAAAGTAAAAAAGAAAAATACCCTGGTACATCAATATCTTCGTTGTTAGAGGAGTTTATTTGAAATTCTGCAGGTGTATCTGGTGCATCCACATGGGCTGTACCTGTGTATTTATATCATTAGAATTGCTCTACGTTCTTCCGTTTTCTAGTATACATGTTAGAGAAGGAAAAAAACCCTGAATACTTCTGTTGATAGAGTTAGACCAGATCTGAGAAAAACAGTAAAAAATGCATTATGAATTATAGATATTCATACAGTAAATTATTTTCTTTAAAATAAATCCTAAGGCACTTCCCAGTGATAGGACATTATGATATTGAATTTTGTGGCTGGCAAACTAGACTCTTCTAATAACTTGGATTTGTGTATCCCTCGGAAGGCACTGCTAATACATTAGTCTTTTACCAGATGAGAAGGTAATTTGGGGATTTGAAAGATGCTGGGTAATAGACAAAGACTGATTGGGCATGCAGTAACCACTGTTCTAGTAAGGGACCTTTCTAGGAGACAGCAGACAGCTGTCAGCCGGAAAAGCTAGTTACACTATATACTTGAATTTTACAACTTCTGGCCTAAAAAAAATTATTCCCTATCTGATCATGCAAGTGTCTCCCTATGGCCAGAAGAAACCTTTTCACGTGCATAGCCCCATGAACTTCTTTGTGTTTTCAGATAAGTAGGAAATCCAGCTATCTTTACTTGGTTGCCAAATTGGGGACCTGATGCATTTGGGGCCATCTTAAAACTCCCTCCTGCTATGTTTACGCATTTGTTTGAAACGAGGACAAGATCTGCAGTTCAGTATGCTTGATTTTTAGAACAGTGATTTTAAAAAGAAAAATTGTTTTTACAAACAACTGATTGCAAGTTAGCACTCAAAAGATGTTATATCCTTCCCAAAGGAAGAAACAGCAGTTAATTTCACACCATTAATTGAATGCTGCCTTATTCACCACAAAATACAGTGTACAGAGACAAGAGTGCAGCAGGAAAGAGCACGATGGTCTGTGATGGCAAGAGGCACAGATAGCAAGCAGCTGGTATCCTTCATGCATTCCCTGTTATCCTCTGCCAGTCCCCAGGATGAAGAGAATGGCTTGTTCTTGAGACTTATAATTTTTACTGTTCTTGTGGCTTTTGTGTTCAGAGTACACTGTAATTATTTAAGTACTGTTATTAACTTTATATTAATCTCCTGTGGAGGTTTTTCTGTTCTTCCTATACAAGAGGCCTTTACTTGAGATTACAAGTTTGTTTGATAAAGGCGACTGCATACATGGGATGGATGTAGACTTCTGTTGAAATATTGAACTTAGAACTGCACAATATTCTCATTTTAGAAATTAGCCCCATGCGCTATTAATGAGCACACATTAAATTGATTAAAATTGGCTGATTGACAAATCTCAAAGTAGTCATTAATAGACCAAATGAGCCTGGTTCTAGCAGGGTTCCAAAATACCCATTCTTAGCCTGATGTGATTTAGTTTCTTTAATCGGGGATCTGGAAGTAAATACACAGTCGCTGCTGATAATCCCAAAGCTACTTAACCAGGACAGGGCATTCATACAGATTGATCTGGATCACTTGGGCCCAGTCAAGCAAAACACTTTTTTAAAGCAGCTGAAGTTATGCACACAGGAACAAACAATACAAGACACATTCATAGTCCTGAATAAAAGGAATTCAGGGTTTATGGCAGACAAACAGCAGTGTGATGAAAGACTCATCTCAAATTTGGTTGTATAAAGAGGTGATTTTACTGTTCTGTATAAACCAGGGGAGGGCAATTATTTCAGGTGGAAAAGACCACTTAACAAGTTTTGGTGAGCTGTTGAGGGCCAAATGGGTGGCCCTGCCCCCTGGCAGTTGCCCCACCCCCTTTTGCCATTTTGGGACCAGAAGTCCCACCCCTGATCTTTGCCACCTGCATCCTTCCGCTTGCCCCCCCTCCCATACCCCGGAGCAGGGTGTGGGTGTGGGGGTGGGGAGGGACCTCCCCCCCATGGCACAGCAGCAGGCAGGTGCCCCAGAGCGCAGGCGCCCAGCGGGGCACAGCTCTGACCAGCACTGCACATTGCAGCGAGGGGCATGGCTCCCCCTGGCAGTCTGTGTTGCCAGCGCATCCCCCCACTCACACACAGCCGGGAGGGAAGCCCCACATGCTGGAGCCTGGTGCTTTCCGTGCCAGGGCTGCACAGCACAGGAAAGAAGCAATACAGACAGCCTGGGGGAGGCTGCACCCCTTGCTGCGATGTGTGACACTGGCCGGAGCCAGGTGCCTGTGCCCTGAGCGCCCAGCCTGCTGCTGCTGCCCCCAACTGCTGGGGCTGTGCACCAGGGGCATATGCGGGGGGGTCCCCACACCCTCCCGCACACCCACATGCTGCCCACCCTAGCTCCGTGCTGCTCCCAGCCCCACGCTCTGGGCCCTGCCCTCGCAGCTTCCCTACCTGCTGCCCAGAGCCAGCAGGAGAGAGGGGAAGTGGAGCAGGTCCCTGGGGGCAGCAGCAGAGGCAGCGGCAGCCCCACCTGGAAGCTACATGCAGGCCAGGAGGGTGGGAGCAAGGCTGTAAGGTATGTTTGGGGGCTTGCGTACACTGGGCACCTCACTCTCACCCCCGTGGGCAGAAGGGCTGGGCAGGGCACAGTTTGTTGGGGGGCCGTGCTGGCCGGATGAAAGTGTGTCGTGTGTCTCTCTTCTCCCCCCCCCCCCCCCCTTTTTCTCCCCCCCACTTTAAAATTGCCTACAGAGGCAGCACTGATGGAGTCAATTGACTTCACTTTCTTGTTATCATCTTCCTAATCTCTCTCCCCACTTCACAGGTGTTAATGAGTCTCTCCTTTTTAAGGTCTTGATGTTCCATTAATCAAGCTATCCTTTCTTCTGCATTTTTGCTGTCTATTAGCCATTCCTGGTAATGTCTTTCTTCTATGCATAGCCTTGCAAAATGTTTTTAGTTCTAGCTAAAAACCTTCATTCCGATGTAGTGATACTAACTCAGGTGTAGAAATGAGTGACAGCAAAGTATTGGAGGCACTGTCAAGATGCTCAAGAAGACTAGATTTTGTTTTACAGATCTGAATGAGAGATCTATATTTATTTGTAATGGTGGCAGGACTGAAGATACTGTATCTTTCAACTATTTTTTGCCTAGTTTGTCGTCATTTTTAAACATAATCTAGCAAGCTGGTGCACATTCCAGCAGTTACATTGTTTTTCTTGCTTTGAACTTAAACTGAATAACAGGGCTAGGCCCCTAGCACAGTGGTTTTCAAACTTCCTAAAGTCACAGAAACCTTTCATATCACTTCTTTTGTCACAAAACCCCTACCCCAGCCAGGGGACTCAGCCCAGCAATGGCAGCAGACCGCCTCCTGGCGCACTCCCCCATTTCCCCTCGTCTCTTTGGGGAACCCCTGACGACCTGTCGCGGGACCCCAGGGTTCTGGAGAGCATGGTGTGAAAACCACTGCCCTAGCATATTAGTAAAGCTTCTAGTTTCTCTTTAACTGGAGAAAAAATGTGTCATGTTATATGTGATGATGCACCTCACCACACCACACCATACCGCCTGCACCCTCCTTTTCAAAATCCTAGATCCTCCCATGTGCACAGTCCATCAAAATCCTAGTAAGTGAAACCAGAGGAACTGCTACACGTGGTTATTGCTTCAGCCTAGTAGAGCATATAAGCTCATACTAATTTTAAGCTTGCAGGCTGTTCCACTGAATAGCAGAACTGTACACAAGTATAAGCTTAAACCTATGCTTAAGTGCATTATATGAGGCTACTGAGTCGGTGCCAGAGCCAGGAATAGGACAAGGCCCCTCTAACTCCTGGTCCCAGTTCCATCCACTAAATCCTGCTTATTGCTTTAATATAGCTGTCTTTGTCTCTTAGATGAGTACTATGCCAGGCCTTCCAACTAGACCCTGCTTCTATGATATCGACTTGGACCCAGTGACAGAAGAGGTGAATGGGCTCTTCTAAAAAATGTTGCCAACCAGAGGTAAATGTCTTCCTTAGGCTAGTTTGCAAATGTTTGAGTTTTATTTTTAAAGCCTGAGCTAATGTAGTTACACTCATCTGAGCATAAGGCTACATGTTTTCATTTGATTATAATTCAGGCTAAAAGTTTCCTGCAGTACTATAATTTAGTAATTAGATTTATTTTTCTTCCTAGCTACCAGAAGACTACCTGATGAGTAATGTAAACTGAACTGTGCCCTGACTTAAGCCAAAATAAGATACGACTGAGGATGCAAGATGTGAAGTGAATGGGATAAGAAGCATTTGGGAATGACTGGAATATATACATTTGTTTAAATTTGCAGTAATTTTTTTAAAGTCTTATTCCAAGCTAATCTTTTAGTTCAGTGAAGAACCTGCAGTAAGTTTTACACACTGATATTTTTAAATATTTCCTTAGTGAATATGAACATTTTGCTTCATACTTGTAGCCAAACCACCTGGTTTTAACCGTCCCTTTCTATCACTGATCTTAATAAGATGATTTTAATATATTAAAACATAAAAATGGAGTTTCCTGACTTGTCCAATGTTTGCGACAGCCTGGGGCTTAAGTTGTTTTCAGCATATTTTTAGACCATGGGTAGACATCGTCCTTTAAAGGCTGGACAGTGTCTTTCTACCTACTCAATTCCGAATCCACTGCTAGCATTCAAGGAGAGGATGTTGTAACATGAGACTGCACCAGTATCAGTCCCAAGTACGTAGCGAAGAAGAATTCCTTTGTTTCTCCACTTCCCAAAAGCTTTTGGTTTCTGGTGTGTTTTGTCCTTATCAACACGTAAACCATATCAGATCTGCCGATTAGAAATCCCTGCTGTGATCAGCATCTGTGCCATGTATATATTGTGCTGTGCACAAAACACAGGACATCACCTTTTTGCAGACTGGCTCTCCATTCAGTGGCTGTGGCTGAAGAAGAGAATATGCCATACATGGTTTTCTGACTTAGATGGATGAGTTTTCTTACACCGCTTCTAACCCTTGCTTCTTGAAATATCTTTTTTTTGGATGAACAGACAGCACAAGCACTGAGTCAAATTGTTTGCAATGGGGTTTGTCAGAGTAGTCCAAAAAAATTCTCATAATGGGAAAACGAAGTTGTTGCCAGACTTGTAATTAATACGAATGAATGGCTAAATCCTTTCAGAGTACCCTGGGCTTTAATATATGCATTGAGTTTAATGAAGCTGAACTTTATTTTTATGGTCAGTTTGGGGATTGTACACAGCAGCAGTTTCCAGTATTGACAGGTAAAAGTGATTATTGCAGTAATACTGCTGAGCCTCCCGTGCACCAGTATATTTAGGTTTAATCTCACATCCCTTCCTGGATACTGCATGTCATGTGTAGGAAAATAAACTGCCTAAATTTTATTCAGTGGATTTTGATATGCTCACCATTGACTGCAAGAGATCTGAAGTGAAACCACCAGTTCTGCTAATCCAGCAATTGAACAGAAAATCTTACCCATGCAAGCAGCTAAATATCTATGAATAATCCTTTCCACATCAGACTGCAAGGCCCATTGCTTGTATCTGAGCCTAAGAACATATTAAAGAATTGCAGTGACTGGGAGAAGCATTGATGTAGGAGTGTGCATCAGCATATGGGCTCAGCTGTAATACATGCACACTATATATAGCAAGCTATCAGAGAGAATAATTATGTAACAATTACGGGGCTGTCACAGGAGTGAAGTTACAATAACTTAAGTTGTCATAAGATTCCTAAGAGGCATTTTTAGGCTTGTTTAAAATTTTCTTTTATATAATATTCAAAGCAAAGCAGGTATTTGCAATCAGATTTTCAGGGTCTGAACAGACTGTTGGCATGGGGTCAGGAATTGCTTTTCCCCATGTGTAGTGCATAGCTAGGTACACGAGGAGCTCCTTCAACTAAGGCATCCTGTGCTGGCTGCTTCTTGGAGGCAAGCTGGCCAGCCTGCAGGTGCCAGTTTCTTCATTCAATCTTCTTCTCTCGTCTCGCTGTTGCTTTTCCTGCTGCATCCCCCTCTTCTGAACAGCCCATCTCATTCCTTCAACCTGCCTTTTTTCTTTCCTGGTCACCTTTTCACGTTCTTTAATATAACACTCTTAAGCATTAGAAAGCAGCTTGTCCTCTCCCTTTCTGCAAGGACTATTTCAGTTGACATCTCGTTAATCCAGTGATTAATCATAGAAATACAGGGCTGAAGGGGACCTCACAAGGTCATCAAATCCATCTTCCTGCTCTGAGGCAGGTAATTATACCCAGACCCTCCCTGAAAGATGCTCATCTAACCTGTTTTATAAAAACCTCCACAGATGGGCTTTTCCCAGTCTTTCTTGACTGCCTGTTCCAGGGCTTAACCATCCTTAGAGTTCAATTTTATGGATATCATAATTTTTTTTTGCACAAAACAAGCTAATTGCCTCTTCTCTGAACTTCAGTGGGCATTCATTAATTGCTGTTGGGTGTTTTTTTTTTTATAAACCTGACCCCAGTTGTCTTTCCTGCCTAGTGCTGTGGGGATGGACACAATGATCTTGCGAGGTCCCTTCCAGCCCCTAACAATCTATGGATCCATGAACACTTTACATACTGGATAAATCTTCAAGTCTCCCTCCCTGCCCCCCTCCATTCCTTCTGCTTTTGTCTAGAGAGATCAAATCCAAATGATGTAAGACTTCCTTGTGCCTTTACAGACCTGGAAAACTGTGTGTGTCATGGAAAGAACATCCCCATGGTTACCCAAGATGGTGGCATTTCTGCTAAGTTCCTTCTGTGACATAATGTGGGATGTTAACCTAATTCTGCTGGTTTGGGGCCAGCCGTGGGCATTGAGATAGGGAGAGTACACGCTATATGTGCCTCTTCCCATGTTGCCCATGCCACATTCGCTGCCGGAGTAAGACAAATATTAGAAGAACGCAAGCATTGTATCTCAAAAAATCTGCTTTCAAGCAAAAAAGCTTGTCCTCGGTCTAGCTGGAATCCCTGCCTATTCGCATAGCCTTAGCACCTCTGTCAGATAATTCTTCTGCATGATCAGCTTATTCTGAAACTCCATAAAAGCTGAGTTCTGTGCAATTTATCTACCCAACTGTGTTCCAAATGCAAGGTATTTAAGCTGATGTAATGAGGGACCTAAATCTGTATCATCCACCTTGAGGTGAAGTACTTGAATTTGTGATTCACATGCTCTTTTTGGCAGTGTGGTTAAGGCATCTTGCTGCAACTCCAGTCTCATGCTAATCTGCCCCCACCTGATTCAACTGCGAATAGATATTTTACCACTTGGACTAAGGAGTCAAATGTGATCAGACATGATGCTAGTCGCATGATGCTGACACATACGTTTGACTTGATGCTGTTTGTTAGCTTCCTTGTCTTTGCCTTTTAAGGTAGAGGGAAAAACCGCCTATGCCCTGACAAGCTTCATCATGATCTTCTATTCTTTGTAGCTCCTGATAGGAACAACTCACCTAGGAGAGGCATGGGTCGTCAATGGATAAGGAAAAGTTGGCAGAAACACATCTGTCATAAGAGTTACCATTAGTGTTGTTATGCATCCATCATAATGAAGGATGTTGGTGCCAGTCAGGCCACCTGGCATTTGCACAGGTAACTGCCAGCTTATGCACCGCAAATTCCTTTTTGTCACAAAATTCAGTGCCACCCAGCGTGAGCCGGGCTGCCGTTGCTGCTGTTGTGAATGCAGCCTTTGGCTTGTGTGCCGTTCCTGCTTAAGAGCATGCCCTCTGTGTTCAAACAGGCTTATGTCTTCCCTTACTGTGGCACTTCATTGCTGCTTATTTACAGCCAAGAGCTCAAAGGAGCTAGTCAATGGGTTGCACTCAATGAAGTGAACCTTTATGCAGTCCTTGAAGCACTTTTGTAGGCAACCATGCTTTCTCTTCCCATCCTTCAAGTTCCTCATCTACGAGGTTGTCATCCATCTGAGCTTTATGTCCAATCTGTCATAGCTGACACTTTGGACATGCCCCCAACATGCTCCAGGACTTTGTTACTGGTTGGCTTGCACCACCTGTATAACGTCCAAGTCGTATGCCCAGTGAGCACAGCTATATAGCTAAGTAACACACCTTTTAAGAAAGGGAGCAATAGGATGACACTGCTAAGTTAAATACGCCATATATTTCTGTACGGGAGAAAATACTGGCTGCAAAAGTATGTGCGTTTCCAAAAAAAATGTCTAAATGGTAAGTACTTTCTTTGTGCTTGTTTCACATAGATCTCCCTTGTGCCGGTCCGCACTCTGGACTGGGTACGGTTCGGTGCTTGCCTGTAGCGGCTGAAGGCAGATTGGGAAGGGCAGGGGGAAGATGGTGCTCTGAGCTTCATGCACAGCGCTCCCTTGTGCAGATGTTCAACATACTGCATGTACGCTGCTCCCTCCATTTGCAGGTGCTGAGGTGCAATAAATTGGGGGTTCTTGTTAGTGAATGGGGAAGTTCAGGTCCCTCTGGACACTACACTTGGCGTGTTTTCCTGTTTATCTCAGTTATCAGCACCTTGAAACTTTTGTTTTAACTGAAGCTTAGAGGCCGGGGTGTAGATTCATAGATGTTAGGGTCGGAAGGGACCTCAATAGATCATCGAGTCCGACCCCCTGCATAGGCAGGAAAGAGCGCTGGGTCTAGATGACCCCAGCTAGGTGTAAGAGGGTAGCATGAAGAAAAAAACCGTGCTAGCGTGTTGTTCTGGGAACTACTAGCTCAACCCGAGACCCGGCCGGGGTGCGTCTTTCTCACCTATAATGGCATTTTCTATAAAAATGGAAAAACTGGATTTTTGCTTAGCTGAAACCTTTGCAAAATGGAAATGGCTCTCCTGGCAGGAGAGCGTCTCATGCAAAATTCCCGAGGCAGAAAACCTGCCAGCTCCCGACAGGAAAAGGAGAGCAGTCTCTCCCTCCCTGGGGTGCTTTTGTCATCCGCAAACAGCCCTGCCTTTTAGCACATCTCCAAATGACAACTGCAGCTTGCTCTGGCGGGAGCAGCCTGGGGCTCGGGGCTCGCGACATGCCGCAGCGCTGCCACAGCCCCGGGGCCGCT